ACAATATTGGGCTGACTGGTGGCCTGGGATGGACATGGGAGTTGATGCATGAACTGTAAACATATAGGTCAATGTTTAGCTCACAGAGAGGGAGGAAATAGAGAAAGATAATATGAGATCATGAGCAAGAGAGAGAAAAGAGTATAGAAAAGGGGAAAGTATGGAGAAGAAAGAGCAAGAGAAGAGTTTAAAGAAAAGGCCAAGAGACCAGCATCAAATCAATGCCACAAAGCTTAATGGCATTTCCATTTTTCTCCATGGAGTATTAAAGGGCAAGAGAGCATAATGTCTATACTGCTGTACTGAAGGGTGCAGAGCTTGACTAGGAGATGGAGATTGAGGCTGGTCTACTGTGGGGTGCGCAGTTACACTAGGAAATACAATTCTAGGCTGCTCTCCTCTGCTCAGCTTAGCTATTGGTGTGCAATATATGATTATAAAAGTCCAATTTAGGTGGGATGTATACTGTGGTGTAAGTCAACTGAAGGGTAAGGGAATGTAACTTAATATGCTTAGAAGTCAGAAAAAATATCTATGGGAAGAAATGTCCTTCCATGATCCCATAGTATGATCAGTAGAGCTAACTAAAATATTTTCCATGGAACACTTTTGCACTGGAAAATGCTGTAGCATCACATTTGAGACATTTTGCAAAAACATGTAAATTTCAACAATTTTAATGGAAAAATTTTTAAATGATTTAAAATTCAAATACAGCATTTGGTTGTGGCTTAAATATTTTAATACTATCCAAATGAAATGGGTTTTTTTAATTACATGGCTGTTTCTGTTCCATTAAAAATAAAATAAAATAAAAATCTTTCCAGTTCATGAAAAAAACCCAAATTTAAAACATGTCAGTATTGAATGGCACTCTCTGACCATTTCAAGAGCTCAACCCAGACTAGAGCTCATTGAAAACCAGGCGTTTGCTTTTTTCTTCTTAATATTTTGGCAAAGTTTTCTTAAGGAAAATTGAGTTTCCATTTAAAGCTTTTTTGGCTTTCAGTGAAAATCTGAATTTTGGGGGTTTTGACAATGAAAAAAGTCAATTTTTCTGGTGTTTGTTTGTTTACTGAATAATTCTGTCAAAATGTTGATGAAATTGGAAAAAATGTACTTTTTTGCTTAAAAAACCAAACATATTTCCCTATCCCCATTGGGCTGCGCTACATTTGATCTAAACAAGAAAAAGCAGTCATTAAGGTGCTCCCTTTGGGTGCATCTACATGTCTGCTTTACTGCACATTAATCTAATGCGCAGTAAAGCATAACCATTTCCATGTGTGCAACAATTACTGTGAGTAGATTAATGTAAAGTGCCACTTGCTAGTACCGACAGAACTCACCATCTTGCCCTGCCTCTCCCCCCCCCCGACGCCTCGTGGAGCTCGAGGCTTATTCTCAAGCTCCACACTGCTCATAGCTGCCCCCAGAGCTGGGAACAGCTCCTCCTCTGTCCCTGCCCCAGAGCTCAGGCCTGGCCCCCTGTGCCCCCTGCTAGCCCAGGACTGCCCCTGGAGCCCCCTGCCAAACTGGGGTTGCCCCCAGTGCCCCCTCCCAGCCCAGGGTTGGCACCCAAGCAGCTGAAACTGAATCTTGGAGCTCCCCCTGGCTGCTGCAGAGGGGCAGAGTAGGGCAGAGTAGGATAGGAGCAGCCCTGGACTCAACTACTCCTATCCCGCTTAATTTGCTCCTGACCCGGGCACATGTATAGATGCACGCCCAGAAACAGTTTATTCAGTAAATTCAGGCACATTAATTGCACATGTAGACGCACCCTGTGAGAGCTTTGAGTTCTAGGATCTAATGGCTCTCTTAGCCAAAACAGCCCGTGTCTTTGACCATTAAGGGCTGATTCCAAGGCTAATTTGTTTGCTCTGAGTAAGAGGAAGGAGGTGCATGGACATTTTGCTGGTGGACATGGGGGGGCTGAGCTTTCTGTTGGTGGCTTAGTTACCAGTTCCACCGTAATGAAGTCTGTATTTAACATACTTGGAAGAAGCGTATGGTAGTAGATTGGCCCTGTTGTCAGACACATTAAGCTAGATAAATGTATTTGATTTAATTTATTTAAATTTGTTTTGCCTAAATGTATTAAATTTTATGTAACAGCAAGATCAGCTCTTACACGGAGAAAGTGTGAGGCCTTCTTTCCTAGCTGTGAGTCACCTAATGCTGAAGCTATGGTGACCCAAATGAAACACGGAAAAACAGCCGTTCTCTTCCCCGAGATAAGGATTTGTGCCCAAGCTTGCAAGGAAAAGAGAGGTGAGCAATTCACTGCACAGAGTCCCTGTGAATTAATTGCAGGTGTTAAGGAAAAGGATCAAAGGGCTGGATCCTCAGACAATCTACGTGAGCCAGTGAAGCCAATGGAGCTTGTCAAATTTGCACCAGCTGAGGGACTGTCCTGAAAACTTTAACAGGATATATGACATCTAACCTGAATGTACTGGCTGCAGTTTGCTGTGCATTACACTGGCTTCAGCCTAAAGTAACTTCATTGAAATCAGTGGACTTCTCCTATATTAGCACTGGTGTAACTGAGAATGGAGTCTGGCTGTGTGTGCGAGTACTTGTGTGCTCAGTGGAAAATGGGTGGTGATATCAGGAAGAATGCAAGGCAAGGCTTAAGACTTACGCAGCCTTTATGTGGTCTGAAACCCCAGTGTTGCAAACTCTCCCTCAAGAAAGCAGACAAGCTCAGAAAGCTTGTTCAGAGTGGACTTGATCCTGTGCCTCCTTCTCATGTCACTGTCTGGCCATTCCTTTGAAATCAAAGGGCCTACATGTGCATTAAAGTACTGCCTGATGGAAGTGTAGGTGGCAGAGCTGGCAGTTATTAAGGATTACTCACGTGAGAAAGGGCTTGCTAGATCCTGCAGGAAAGGCATGCATGAGGTTGAGCACTTGCATCTGTGTTGCAAGTGTTTCTGTGTATCTGTGCTTATGTTTTTCACAGCTGCCTCAGGGAGCGTTCTGTGGAGCTGAAATAATGTGAGATCTGTTCTGCTCAGGGTGTTTCGCTCCCTGGCTGGCAGAAATACCACAAGAAGACCAGATCTTGCAGTATTTCAGCCCCATAAGTGGCTCCTTGAGGCAAGAAAAGACCTGTGAAGAAGAAACACAAACACAAATACCAAGTTATTTGGTTTCCCAGTGTGATCTTCCATAGTCTTCTGCTTTTCATCTACTCACTGGTACCCATGCGAACAAAAGAGGCTGCTTTAACAACATATGTCAAAACAGATATATGCACATGAGTATCGTAAAATATGGGAACACATGTGTCATAAAATACATGCATGTACATGTCATAAACTACAGCCACAAGTGTGCCATAAAATAAATGTGTGCTTTTGTAACAAAATATGGACATGCATATATCATAAAATGCACACAAACCCATGTCACAAAACACATGAAGAGATACATTATCAAATGCATAGGAGTGTATAGCATAAAGTGCGTGCCAGTTCCATAAAATGCAGGCATCAGCATTGAATACGTGCATGCAAGGATCATGAAGTGGGGAAAAACATGCATCAAAATGCATGCAGCACTTTGTCAGAAAACTGAGGGGCTTATATTACTGAGGTGATAAAACGGATGCATGTATCTATGAGGCATGCATGTATGTCATAAAACACATGTGTTCTGTTCATGTGTGTGCTGGAGAGCTGGAGGTGGGATTAGCCAGCATAGTGCTGGAGTTTGGGGTTTGAGAACCCAACTACGGCTGAGTCAATCATCTGCAACCAAAATTTTATCAGAAAAAAATATGATTCTTTGTTCTGCTCAAGGTGGTTTAGTGACAGTTGAGCTGTGATTGCTACGTTGAAATAAACCAGCAAGGTTTTAGCCTGCCGGCTCAGTTCTGTTTTTCCAGGTGGATCTAGTACTCAGTGGTTCTAGTTCAAACTGCTATTCCCTGTATTTAAAGGTGACCCATAGGTCATGTCTATAGTACCTCCCTGATGAGCTTGGGGCTCTCACCAAGAATCAAGCCCCATCCCCTCAGTCCCACTGCACGTGTGAATACATGCAACAAGCAGGCAGACTCCAGCACTGCATGTAGGCTCTCCAGCCAGAGCGGTGCTGGGGGATGCCCTCAGATGCCCTGTGATCCATACGTCTTGCCTCACTATGGGCCTTGGGCATGCATGGAGCAGGAACAAGTGAGTAGGGCTTGATTCTCAGCAGTGCTCCTGGAATTAGACAAGGTCTTGGAGGCCTCCGTTGAAGTCAGAACCCCATTGTGCAGGGCATTGTATAAGCACATAGCAAGAGACAGTCCTGCTCCAAAGGAGTGGGGGTGGGGGGTGGGAGGAGGCGGTGGGGGAAGGGAAGAGAACAACAACTTGCTTAAGGTTGCCCACTGAGGTAAGGATTTGTGCTCAAATAGGCCAGGGGCAGAGCCCAGGAGTAGACCCTATGCCTCCTAGTCTCATGTCCTTCCAGGGCACAATAAGCCCGCTCCCCACTGTGTGCTAAAAGAGTTCAGGAGTTAAACTGGGATTGGTGAGAGAAGTAGGATCATAGGAAAGTACAGCTGCAAAGGATCTCATGAGGTCATCTAGTACAGCCCCCTGCTCAGGGAAAGATCATCTGTTGCTAAACAATCCCAGTTAAGTGTCTGTCTAACCTGCTCTTGAAAATTTCTAGGAATGGAGACTTGCATGATATTGTTTCTGTCGCCTGATATGGCTTCTGTGGCCTGTTTGTATAAGTGCACAAGCACTTTATGAGCAAGTGTCACATGTGGCAGTGCAAAATGACTTGACAGAATCTCCCTGCCATTCCATTCATTCACTTCTTCCTGCTTTGTTCGTTTGGCTCAGCCTGCCTTGCTGTTTGGGGAAAGACCTGCTGAGGGCTGAAGCACCAGGATAAAACCTAGGAGATACATGTTTTATTCCTGCCTCTGCCACCCACTAACTTGCTCTTGATCAGATGCCTCAGTATCCCCACCTGGAAAATGGGATAATCATTCTCACCTACCCAGAAGAACTGATGAAGCTTACTCCTTGTCAGATCCTTTTACATCCTTGGACAGCAGCAGTGAGAGGAATGCTGTTGGTGTTAGCAGAACCCAGCCCATTTTGGTGAGCTCTACAGACATCTAACAAAAAGATAGTCCTTGTCCCAAAGACCCCATCACTGTCTAACTGAGCAAAGAGATGCAGCAGGTGGAGATGATAAGGCAACAAGGCAAGAACAAGAAAATACTGGAATGATTCTGACCCACACTTCCAACACCCCAGCTGCCTTGCCCCTGCCCAGCAGCCTGTAGGCATAACAGCAAATGGGAACTTTAAGGAGGATTAAAAGAATCTGGTTCTTGATTTTTATGGGTAGCTTTGTTACTGGCCGAAAAGAACAAAGTGCAAAGTGACCTGCTGAAAGACTGACCGGTAGGCAACCAAGGCTGATGTCAGTGGTTAAGGAATGGCTTTACTTTGTACAAATCCTTGCGTTGACCTGGACAAAAAAGAGCTTGCAAGAGAGCTTGTTGAGTGTTTTAAAGTGAAACTTTCATAGTTTTTTTCAACTGGAAATTGGTTTTGCAACAAAAACAAAATACCTTAAAGTATCTGCTCACCTGCAACATTTTCAAACTTTTATGGGAAAACCAAAAAAATTTCAGGCCCAAATCAGTCTGTGTAGTTGTTTGGCTGGTTTAGGGCATAACATTCTCGTGGTGTTGATTTTTGACTCCCTTTTCTGATCCGATTTATTTTTCATTATAGCTCACGCGCTCTTCATCATTCATTCTTTCCCTCTTGGGAAAGTTTCATTTCTCCAATCTGCATGAACAAACAGCATTGTGTAATTTGCAGGGAAAGAGAGACACAACCAAACACAAAATATCTACTTGCAAATGGTGAATCAACTAAAGACACCACAGAGGTTTGAACTAAGTCACCGTAGCAGACTATTATGACAACATTTTAAGGAAAGCCTAAAATTTCCTTCCACTCTTAGTGCAAATGTTAGACCCTGTATAACTGGAATCACAGAAGTGCAGATCCTCATACTAAGGTAATGTGGCTGTGTCTCCTTCCAGCAGTGGTAGAAAATGCATAGTGGGTGTCAAATGGGGAGAGACCACTGTCCTGCGGCAGTGGTGGCAGTGTACAGTGGGTGTGCCATGGGATGACAGCGCCCCCCTCTGGCTCTGGTGAGCAGCGTGCATCAAGTGTGACAGGGCCAAAACGCTGCTCTTAGTCTAGTCGCTGGTGCTGGATACTGCAGACATTTGTGTTTGTTTTTGTTGCTCCAGAGACAACCCTGGAAATTTCCTGGAATTCTGGGCTGGTGCCAGCCCTGCTTTCTGGAAGGAGAATACTACGTCTCAGTCCATAAAGTCCCCAGAATGGGAGGAAGGGGCGAGAGACACACAAAGTCAGTAGTAAAAAGAAATGAAAGTCGGCAGCTTGCCACAGCTGAGTGCAGACTTTGCAGAGCTGCCTCTTTTATTGGCACCCAGACTGGAGGGAGGTTTATGCTCTCAAACAAGCCAAATTGGAACTGTAGTGCAGGCCCGTGCCCTCAGAGCAGCCTGGCACCCGGGGAACCCCTGGCAGGGCTAAAGGTGTGCAGCTACTCCTGGATCTGGCACCTTCTTCCACTCTCTGATTCTCTCTTTCCTACCCATGCCCTCCTACCCCCAAATCCTCATCCTTTCTCAGCTAACTCTGTCTTGGCTGGGGCTTATGTAATCACATTGGCATTTCTCCCACTGAACCTGCCATCAGACAGTTCACCAAAAGTCCAGGGGCCAAAGGATAAATGACGGTGAGAAGGAATCCATGCTCCTATTTTTCCACTGGTTGGATAGGTTCCAGGGGACCTGCTGGCATCACCATGGCTGGGTCTGTGTCCAGGTTTATGTCATAATGCTATAAGAGTGTGCCCTGTGGCAAAGCATGGCAGACACAGAGGAAACTGTACAGACAGCAGACACAGGGCACAGGGCAAAGATGGCACAGAGAGGGCCAGAGTCCTTTCCAGAGTGACAGCCACAGACTTCTAGCTTGTGTTCTTCCTTCTGGCCTAGGCTAAGTTATAACACAGGACGTCCCCCCATGGCTTTTGCTTTGACCTCAAGTTTGTGACATACATTTGCCCAGGGTGCACATGTATGGATCCACCTACCTGCCAGGCCAGGCCACAGCCTGATGTGCTTTCCTTCCCTCACCTTCAGGTTCTTTCCCATCTTTGTACACGTCTTCCTGTAAAGCCCATTTCTCTCTTTCCCTCCTCTGTGTTGCTTTATGTCTTACTTAAATCCGGCACATGTCCTGACATGGAGGACTCTGGGGTTGCACCTTGAGACTACGACAGCAACACTGCACTTGCAAAGCATGAAGTGGGACAAAATGGACCTCCCAGAGGTAGGACAATCACTGAGAGAAGTGCTTGAAAATCAAGATGTAAACAAGCTCTCTAAGCCCAGCCGCTGGGTTTTGAGCTGCTGGAACGCCATGGCTGGGTAGCAGCAGCTTGGGCAGGGATGTATGGAAGCTCTGATGCCTCAATACCTCTGGGGGTCCTAAGTGAGATACCCTCAGAGAAACTCCCACTCTGTGTCTACCTAAGGCAGCAGCGATTTCAAGTTATGTCTGAAAAGAGCACTGCCATCAGCTGTAGTGCAGGCTGATGTTCATGGTTTGGCGGGTTAGCAGTTCTAATTCTACCTGAGTCACTTAGGATTACTTCGACGAGATATGTAGATCTCTAAACTTTCACTGGGATGTTAGGCACCTAAATACCTTTCTGCATCTCACCCTTAAATCTACCCTGTGCCTCAGTTTATCATCTACAACAAACCATGGAGATGAGGATAAATAATGGTCCTGTCCCTTGGGCACTGTTGGGCTAAAATTTGCTCTTGATTAGTAGAAGGTTAAATATGATGGCGGTGAGGGCTATCTATAGATTTGCACAGAAGAATATGGGTGCTGTTTCAAGCATTCTCAAGCACAACAGATCCTTCTGCTATCAGACAGGAATCAGTCATGTTTAGGGTAGACACTGTGTTTGTGGATCAGCTTCTGACCAGAATTTAGGAAAATATTCGCCCCTTCTTCCTTTGTTGTGCATGTCACCTGCAAAAGTAAAAATATATGGAAAATTAGAGCTGCTTCTGACATTCTACAAGTATATTTAAGTCTGATTCAGGGCACACTGAAGTCAATGGAAAGGGTCTTGTTAGCTTCAAAGGACATGTAACCATGTCTCCCCCCAGTGGCAGACCCCACAGAGGAGAACTGGTTATCTCCTAACCAGCATGCTTGTGACCGCACTATTGTGAATACGCACCTATCATATATTAGAAATGAAACCAGCAAGTACCAGGCTGCTGGGTTCATTAGAGCTCTATGCAGTTTTAATTAACATTTCCCTTGCAATTCTCAGTATGTTTCTATCCCATTCAGGAAACAATACCGGAAGCCTTCTAGCGCAAACTATTTACCACCTGTAGCACTTTGCATAAATGTGTGAGTTGCTTAGCAGGTAAAGTGCCTGCTATACATATACATCCCCATTTCCAGTTTAGCTCCGATCAGATGGAGGGCATGTGTGTGTTTTTATGAGAGTTTGTCACAATTCTGAAGCCTTTCATGTCCAACAGATTGGGGCTTTTTCAACATGTAATTAACTTTCTCATCCAAAAATACTCTGCATTTATCAAAATTATTAGGCAAGTCTCTTTGCTCAAGAAGTAGAATGGGATTAACCCTTGCATTGCTGGCATTACCTCACTCTGTCCATTGTGTAGCTGTATGGGGGGGTGCTTATTTATTTGTTAGGCTGAAAGGTTCGACTGGCTGCCATAAAGGGATGCGAAGACAGTCGCAGACCTTGTTGAAGACAGCAGATGTGCCAGCCATCTTCATTCAAGCTTAAGAGACAGAACATTTGTTTATGTAGTAAAAATACTTGCTGAAAATGGTGGCGGCATCCCAACACAGTAGGTCTTTTGGCAGGCCAGAACCAGCCCATGTACAAGAGATTTCTTCATTGATAGCAATTGCAGTTGGTGTGCTCTGAAGGCAGTAAGCCAACAGAAGGAATTGCAAATGTGACCCTGAAAGGGAGCAGAGAGACAGAGTTTCTTGAGCACAGGACTCAGGAGCGGCAGATGCAGGATTTCTGAGCAGGAAAATAACCTGTGTGTTTCGGCTGTGCTTGGGAAATGGAACCAAGAGTGTAGCTGACTCAGTCCATCAATATCTTATCCCAATGGCAGGCATGCCACAAATTAGCCCTGTACACTTGCTGAGTGCCACATCAGTCCTTTTCCCTTACCGAGACTGCTGCTCTGCTTTCTGCTTCCTGCCCTGTTCTCCCTGCCTGATATGATGTGCTGCTTTTTGCTCCTGGCCCTATCTGCTACTGTGCTGGCTGCCTGTCCCTTTCCAAATCTGCCACATGCCATACACGGAGGCTGCCAGTGCCATTTGCGGCACTTGTGTCACTGATGGGCACCCCCGTCTTATCTTAACAGAAACCACAATGAAAGCTTGTGAATTTTGGGCAAAATGCTCAGGCCAAAGGGACAACAGTATATTTGATTCCCATGTTATAATTATATAAAAGGCAGGGTAGAAAAGATAAGATCCATTGTATGGTGATGTCAGGGTAGCGCCAGATCTCTGGTTAAGTGAATCATCACTGTTAGGATCAAGGAAGGTCTGAGACCAGATATAAGCTCCTGATATCAGCAAGGGAGTAGCTGGGGTTCATGGATCACATTCTCCAACTTCAGAGAGAATCAGCAGCTAACCCCTCCCTGAGTAACATGTCAGCTGCATTTGAAAGGGGCTTTCTCTTTGGGGGGGGTCAACAATTTGGAAAGAATGGACCAGATAAAAGAAGCCAGTGGAGATCAGCAGAGCCCCACTAACTTCAGTGGATTTACACAGTGGAGGATGTGGCCCACTGCCTTCAATTCAGAATCGACCGGCGCGTAGTGACCTGGTATTCCAGGACTGTTCCCTCTGTTACAAACCACAAGCGAGTGCCTCATGCAGTCAGACTTTACGCGACCCACGGGGATGCCAATGTCTGACCCTCTCTGTCATTGGGAGTTAGGAACCTTCAGGCTGCACTGTAGCAGAAGGACAAAGATTATATGATATATTTAATAAAACAAAATTAAAAAAAAGAAAAGAAAAAGAGGCCAATGCACGGGAAGGTAATGTGTTCATTTGAATAATTGGCAAAATCAA